CACATACCCATATACATGCACACACACAAATCCCATTTAACATGTCTGAAAAGACTCAGTTTGCTGTGGTGGACATTTTTAATTGGGTTGAATCAGAAAGCTAATCAGCTGAAGATGTACATGCAATTATTATTTTCCAAGACCTTCAGTCAAATCCATCCAGTGATTCATGAGATATTTTGCTAACAGATAGACACACGTTTGACTCCAATACTGGTAAAGTTTTAAAAACAACTCTTTTAAGCTAGCGCCAGTTAGCACTCGGAGTATGTAACTGGAATGACTTTTAGCTACTACCACACCAAATCTTAACTCAACATCTGTAAAATTAGCCAAGTTTAAGATATTTGTTTTGAGTGGTGACTACAACTTTACACAAAATGGAACAAAAAGCTGGATGGGATTTCTGCAGAGAACAGTGGGGCAGGTGGAGGAAAAGGTGGAGGAAAAAGTGGAGGAAAAGGTGTCGGATTACTCCGGATTTTGGGTCGAATGCTGCGCACAGGAGAGGAGCTGCAGCGTCCTCAAGGGTCTAATCACAAAGTTAATGGCATCCTGGATTTTCAAGAGCGCACAGAGGAGCCGCGGCCTCTGGATCACCTCTCATCGAAGCCAAAAAAAGGCTTCTGCACAAAACAACAAACTGAATCATTTAGGAAGTGATCGAGGAAAGCATCAATGATAGAACCCTGTAACAGCAGAGCCACTGATGCCAACAATTGTTAGAGCTGTCTGAGTGAAGGGATGGAAAATCTATAAGAAAAGATGAAAAGGCTTGGAAATAGGACGAGCAGAGAGGTGGCCAGAGCAGAGATTAAAAAAAAATAATAATAAAGAGGATAAAAGGGGTGGAAGAACTAGAATGACTGTTTCACCCAGAGAAGAGAGAGCAGGGAGACTTATCTAGGAGACAGTAAAACTCTGCCTGCAGGCAGCTGTCAGACGAGCTTCATCGAAGCATCTTTCTCCTCTCGCCGCCTCTTTCTGACTCACTCAGCCGTTCCCTGCCTTGCCATCGGAATACAGTGAATCAATCACCCTCCTGCAGCTACAACTCCCCCTGTTTAATACCACATATGACGTGACATCTGCGGATACCTTTTGATTACCAGGAAACTGATAAACACGGTTTCGCAAAATCGTCGCCCCGAGGATGAGATTTGCACCGATTCAGCTCAGTCTGGAACTTTGCAGCCTTCTACGTACTTTGGAAAGGTGGTATCTCACCGAGCTGCGACTGTTGGACCAGTTGGTGGTTCCAAATTTCAAGAAATGTCATTTTTCAGCTGCAGCCTCGATGATCCTGGGTGCTGGCGACAGTGACCACCAAGCCGGGTGGCTGCATTATGGCTCGCAAAACTACATTCTTGGCCGTTCACATTATTTGTTTGCCATCTCTTCCCACTTTGGTGTGTTTTGTACCCATGCTCAAGATTTAATCTACTGGAGGACACTTTAAAAATAAAGATAAGTGGGACTGCACCAGATCTGGATGACAGCCCTTGATGGGAATGCTGTGCTAAGTTAATTACGTTTCATCCTATATTAAAGATCTTCTTCTTCCATATTGTCCTGACAGAGCACTTTGCTCTCAGACTGCAGGTTTACTTTAGGTTCCTATAGAGTTCCTATAGAGTCAAAAAGAAGAAACTAAGTTTAAGTGAATTCTCATTAGTTTTTGTGTCCTTGTTGTCCCTGAGTGATACAACATCCAGAGTGTCTCTTCGCATAGTATTTACTCAAAACAAGTGTTAGCATTCCAACTAAGTTCAGTGAGGTCATCTGGACGGTTTCTTTTTTTGTTGTTGAGATGTTTCGTCCTTCATCCAAAGGACTTCATCAGTCCGAGGAGCCACAACAAACTCAGTTCACAAGCAGCATGCTCACATAGTGGACCAACCACTATTTTTTTTACCTGGATTATTGAGCATGAACTTTGATGTTTTGAACCACTTTGGCCATGGCTGCCTCAGAGGAGTCGATGAGGGAGAGGGCGGGCCCCAGAAAACATCTTATGACCAGTAAACTGGTTGCTCCACTATGTGTGCTGCTTGTGGGACTGAGTTTGTTGTGGCTTCTTGGACTCATGAAGTCCTTTGAATGAAACATCTCGACAAAAAAAGAAACTGTCCAGAGGACCTGATTGAACTTTGTTGGATTTTTTACCAGGATTGTTGAGCTTGGACGTTGAAGTGTTAGCATTATTTTTCCTCTTCTGCTCTTCTGTTATGACTTTGACCCCTGTGTTTTAAATAGAAGTGTGTTCAAAAAATCTGGGTGCTCGTCCGCTGAGGGGACTGTTGGACTTAACACACTCACACACGGATGTGTCTACACACGATGTAGACAAAATGTACACCACACAGACAGAATGAAAAACTGTGTCCGCCTTTAGAAGGAGGGATCACATTTTTTGCATTTTTACCTTGGTTCCCGGTCAAATTCAGAATACAATTTAAAATCTTACTTCTAACGTGAAACTGTCAGCAACTAAGTTTCATCATATACAGTAGTCCCTCGCTACTTCGCGGTTCGTTTATCGTGGACTCGCTCCATTATTATTATTATTATTATTATTATTATTATTATTATTATTATTATTAATTATTTTAAATTATTTACTGTAACACCTGCTGCTCCTTTCTGCAGCCCACAGCTGCAGAAATAGTTTCCTCCTGCACATTTGTGCAGCCCACACTGCAGGATAAACTTCCTGCTGCAGCTGATCAGCTGTTCACCGTACAGCAGAGAAGTGGGCGTGGCCAAGAGCGCTTGCAGGTGGCAAAGAGCAGATGAGGCAGGGAGCTGAAATCATGATATTCTGTCCAACAATTTTCAGTCAGGTCATCTGGACAGTTTCCTTTTTTTTTTGTGCTGAAACATTTCACCTTCCATCCTGAAGGCTTCATCAGTAAAGGAAACACACAACACAAAACTGATTCTTCCCCCAGTAGCTTACTCCAAAGTGGAACAAACAAGTTATTTTGGTGCTAAGATGGTCTCTTTGGCGCGCCCCCTCCTCCGGTGCTGGCCCTGTTCCTCATCGACAGTCATGTCAAACTGGTTCAAAACCAACAAAGTCCATGCTCAATAATCCAGGTATACAATCCAACAATTTTCAAAATTGAAAGGTGAAAATTGTTGGATTGTTAACCTGGATTATTGAGCATGGACTTTGTTGGTCATGACATTCTGTGCTCTTTTAGAGCGTTTACAGTTTAGAAACAATGTTTAGAATATTGCAAGAGTGTGGGAAGGGTTTAAAATGCCTTAATATATATATTTATGTAAATAATAAAATAAACTACTACTTACTGGTTGTACTACTATTCCTACTTCTCAGTTTTTCACTTATTGCCGGGCTTCAGGGTATGGATCCCCCGCGATAATTGGGGGACTACTGTATTAAAGATCTTCTTCTGTATTTTTCTGACAGAGCACTTTGCTTTCAGACTGCTGGTTTACTTGGAGCTCCTATAGAGCGAGACTATTCAACTGGCGGTCCAGGGGCCAAATCAGGCCCACGGGTGAGCTAAGTTCGGCCCACTAATGGGTTCATTTTGAACTAAAACTAGATTTTAAACAGTAAAACAAACTTACTTAATGACAACAACTGCAGGATGTCTGGCCTCTGAACTCTTGGTTTTCAGTAACTGCGGCCGCCTGAACAATATAGTTGAAAAGCCTTGCTATAGAATTCATTAAATGGGAGGCAGAGTTTTCACTTATCAGACTCCTCTCGTGTGGAACCAATGTCCAACTTCTGTCCATGATGTTGACACTGTCTACTTTTATGACTAGGCTTAAGTCCAATAATATTCAGTCAGGACATCTGGACAGTTTTTTTTTTTTTTTTGTGGAAAGATGTTTTGCACTCTATCCGGAGGGCTTCATCAGTCTGAGGAGTCTCAAGTAAACTGTTTACAGTTACGGTTTACTTGGGACTCCTCAAACTGATGAAAACCTCTGGATATATAAGGCAAAACATCTTTCCACACAAAAAAACTGTCCAGATGACCTGATTGACCATTACTGGATTCTGTACCTGGATAATTGAGCATGAACTTTAATGACTAGGCTTAAGTCTTCTCTTTTTGATATATCCTATAGTTAGTGCTGGCGTGGGTTTCCTTAGCTATCCCTTAGTCGTTCTGTTATAGGCTTAGACTGCTGGACTGCTGAATCTCCTCACTCTGCTGCTGTCTCTACCCCAGGTTTTTATTGGACAGCACTTTGGTGGAGATTGTCGAGGGATAAATAGGACTTGCCTCTGTCTGTGCGCGCGCATGTGTGTGTGCGCACGTGCATGCTCTCTCTCATATGTGACGGGGTTTATTTGCATGTGAGAGTTGGTTCTATAAATACAAGGTGCTCAATGTGGCAGTTCAGAGAGTGATGGAGAGAAGTGCAGATGAGTGGAAAGTGTGAGAGGAAGAAGGGATGAAATTAACTCAAAAAGTAAAGAAGACATAAAGACTAAGGATCCATCTGGTGTCATCAATCTCTTCTTTACAATATAAGTACACAGCTCACTGCTCTTCGTCTCCATTCATCAAGGAGATACATGTGAAATCTTTGCAGGGGGGAAAAAAAACCCTGTACACCAGGATGATTGAAGCGCAGATCGTTCTGAGAAGTTTCTCTTCTAACAACTCAGACTTTTCCCAGCCAGGGATTAAACGAGCTAATGAGGGTCGAGTGCTGATAATTCACCCATCTGCACTCGCTCATACCCAAATATTTGCATGCTGCGGGTTTCTTGCCAAAGTAGGTTTCACCGCTCTGACCTACTTAAGTTGTTTAAAGCCGAACGATGCTAAAGAGTTCACAGTGAGGCAGGCGTGTGTGAAGAACTCCTGTCAGGGTTTACGTTACACGTTGCTGTTTATCTTACGCCAAATATATATTTTACACACTCCACTGCTGTTATGTCAGAGGTGAAGAGGCAGAGTGATTAAAACCCAGCTTCAGGGTGACAATGTTTTATTGACAGTAGGTACCTTGTATGGAATAACAACCGCAGAGCCACCGCTGATGCCCACAATCGGCAGAGCTGTCTGAGTGGAGAGGAAGTCCAAGATTTGTGCCACTTCTGCCACCTGAGAATGAAAACAGACCTAATTAGATGAAATGGCTAGTCTTTCTTGAAGGAATACATGTTGCTCGCTATCTATCATGACAGAATTTTAGACTGAGATCTTCTTTAGTTGAGAAAGGACAGTATTTAAATCAAATAATGAGCAAAATCTCATTCATTATTACCGTAATTTTTGGACTATAAGCCGCTACTTTTTTTCCACACGATTTCAACAACACGACTTAACAGACTACTCGAGTAATCGACAGGTCGATTACTAGGACATCTACCGTTTTTTTTATTTTACGTTGAGTATTCGCAGTGACGTCATTACGTCGCCGGTACGTCATTGCGTCGTGTGTCACGTGATCCACACCGGGCTACTAGTAGAAGCTACAAAATGGATTCCTCCTAGCAGACGGATGGAGCGAAGCAGGCCCAGTCTTGGCAAACAGGTAGAAATGCATCAATAGTCTGGAAATATTTCACCAAAGATGAATCTTCTGGTTCAACTACCGAGGAAACAGAAAATGAATCAACTTCCTGACAGTTTAGAGCTCGTTGCGAACCGGTGTTACACCATATTCTGTGACCACTGTATATTGTGGTGTTGCATGCACTGTTGCAGGTCACAGAATATGATGTAATACCGGGTCCTATCGACCGAACCAGAACCAGCTTCGTTCTGACCTTGTTTCACAAACTAAAAGCAAAAAATATTAATCTCTAAACCTATTAAAAAACTATAAACATATCAATCTTTAAAACTAAACCTAATGCGCACCACAATGTGGTCGTCCGCCCCACAGTTTTTAGTTTACTTTTTTTTACGCGCTGCACGTTTCTTTCACTTTTTGAGCTTTATAGTAATAACTAATACTTTTGGTTTTCCTGTGACTTATTTGCAGTATGATAAATGGTAGGAGCATAATATACGCTCCCGTTTTTTTGTTGGTCTTTTTTTGTAAATAATAAATGACGTTTTTTGCAGTTTTATTTTATTATTTTTTGCATCTTGAGATACTATGACATCATCAACTACTCGAGTACTCAAGTTTTATTATGTTAATGTTGAGTTTAAAAATTATGTAGTCGTTCAACCCCTATGACTCATACATAATGCTGCGGCTAATTTATGGATTTTTGTTTTTATTTTTTGATGGGCTAATAATCTTCATGCAGCTCAAACATTTAGCCTCGTCACACCCGGGTGTTCACAGAGCTGCCCAGTCCACGTCTCGCTTGGGGGATGGGTCCTCGTGATTCAATGAGACTACCTGTGTAAATAAAGGTTACAAAATGAAAAATAAAAAAATCTGACCAATAATGGGTCACAGTGGACCAATGAAACAGGGAGGGGAGGAGAGAATGAGCAGGTCCCCTCCCCCCATTCCCTGTTCTCTCCTCCCATCCCTCAGCTCTGTGGGAGGCTCGGATGACGGGCAGCGAGAAATCGTTTACCAAAACTGGTTGCATGCTAAAAGCAACTTTTACTTAAATCTACCAGTGGATCCTGATACCAGAGCAGTGTAAAATATATATATATATATATATATATATACATCAGGAGGAAGAGGTTGGAAGTCATGACTTCCTGGTGGGCTTTTTTTGTTTGTTTGTTTTTTGAATGTTGAGAGGACCAGACTTAACTTTTTTAGATTCCTGGTGGGCTATTGCATTTTTTTAAGCCAACCTTGTTACAGGTACTGTTCAGGAAAAAAAAAACATTTACTGTACATATTTGTGTGTGTTACTGGTACGTATTTAAGTAAAAGGTTTTAAAAAATCTTTCTGTGTAAATATCTCATGTTACAACATGGCCACCCGTGGCTTATAGACCAGCGCAGCCTATATATGTACAAAATTATATATTTTTTTTCCATTTTGTGGGCGTGGCTTAAATTTGGGTGCGCTCAATTGTCCAGAAATTATGGTACATGATGTCACACTCAGATTATGTGTCATAAATAGGGTTGGGCATCGAGTCTCGAGAATCGATTGTAACCGAGACTAACGTTCTGGTTCTCCCGGAATCGTTCAGATTTTTTATTTTCGATTCTTACGTTTGATGCCTAATCCGCCGACCGGAAGTAGAAACTGCCTGCTGAGTAAAGTTAATAAAAAGTAAGAAGTTCATAGAATTTAAATTCAAATATAAATTCGAATTATTTAATCCAGAAAGAACTCTGGCTAGCTAGCTCATTTATACCAAGAAAACAATTGTTTGTTTGTTTTTCTAAACCCACTTCTAAAAAGAATCGGAATCGATAGGAACCGAAATTCAAACGATGCCCAACACTAGTCGTAAATAAGTCTCAGCTACTACCATGCCAATTTTTAGCTCGAAATCTGACCATTTGGCTAAGTTAGAGTCATGCTTGAGTTGTATAATGTAAGTTGGTTTTGGCAGCCATTTTAAATTAATATGATTCCAAAATGTAGCCATTTCTAGATGTGCATTCATTGATTAATTCCTGGAAGTTTCATTAAAATTCATCCTATTATTCATGAGATGTTATGCTAACAGACAAACATGAAACCACACAAAAGCCTATATTTTTTACCTTTTTGGACTGTGAGTAATAATCAGTGTTACACAACAGATTACTAAACTGAAAATGTACCTTTAGTGAAAACAAAGTTGTTCTTTTTCAAATTTGAATATAAAATGTTGTGTTTCAAATACTTTACGTTGTAGAAACACAAACTTGAACTCAATTTGGTCCGACCTCAAGAAAAACCTTTAAAAAAAATCCCATTTTAAAAACATTATACATCTTAAATACGCTTTTGACGGCTATAAATATGTTTCGGCTTGTGTTTTGTGGGGATTAGCTCAGTCTTTGAGCTTTCTGCCTCTGCTTTGGTGGATTTAGAGATAATGTTGGGATCCATATCTTGATTTCTTTTTCCTCATTCACACACAGATGAGCAAACTGGGTCAATGTGAAGTTGAGACGAGTTTTGCCTGAGTATCCACATGCAGCAGGTAAAACTGCAGACTCTGATTAACAGACTTACGTGTTTCACTTGAAACCTGCTTAAGCTGAATCTGCAGGAAAGGGTTTCTACTAATGAATCCATCAAATGTATAATTTTTCCTATTTCTGGCTGCACATCAGAGCAGAGGCTCATCACTTCAGAGTCAGCAGAATCCTTCTGAAGGACTTTCTCAGTGAAATGAGGGCTTTGATTTTTAAACTGAGCACTTCCTTCTGAAAGTTTTCTTGGTCCAGACCTCAGCTCGACCTCCATAAATGCCATTTCCTAATTATGTTAGGAGCAGAAGAAATGGCTTCCTGATAGTGCTTTCCTATATTCTTATGGCCCTCCTAATCCTGCTTTGGGGGACAGGAGGGGACAAGTGGACACTTACTTAAATTTTTACAGACATTGTTTCATAGAACTGAAAGATTCATAACACTGAAGTCTTCTCCAAGGTGTAAAAGTTATGAAGGTTCTTCTGATTTTTGATTTTGTCATTCCAACAAAATTATACAGTCACCTTCATTGAATGGGTAAAAGACAGTGTTAACAAGAGAAAATCAATGTCTATGGCTCGTAGTTGCTTGTGACATTTTTTAAATAAAAATTAAATGTCTATCATTCTATTGCTCACTGTATCATCTTTGTACAGCACTTTGGTTGGCCTTGTTGCTGTTTTAAGTGCTATATAAATAAATTGGTATGGTATGGTATCTTCTGTTGACAAGTGATGCAGCTCAAGTCATTGTGTGAAAGTTTATGAAGCATTCACTCTATTGCAATACATTTTTCTTCTGTACGTTTTTCAGCACAATTCTCGTCCTGCAGTTTTCAAGTTATTTCAACAAATCTTAAATCAAAGCATTCAGGACAATCCTGCTATGACTTTTGGTATTGGTGCAACTTTAGCTTTTTCTGAGGTTTTTTTTTTTTCCTTATAGAAAATGAATTGAGCTCATTTTACAGCCTTCAGATCTTTAGATCTGTTTACAAACTTTTACTGCTCCTTTTTTTTTTTTTTTTGCTCCATTTTGTTCTGGTTCAGCTTCTTTCAGCTTCCTTGTGCAAATTTTTAAAAAAATTCAGCTATTTTCAGCAGATTTCAGCTGTTTTTTTAGCCGTTTTGTGCTCCTTTCAGATTAGTTCTGCTAAATACAACATTTTTGTGCTTCTTCTAACTTCTTTCTGCAAGTTTTAGCTTTTTCTGATATTTCAGCTACTATTTAGCTGTTTTTTTGCTCATTTCAGCTTTTTTGAGATAATTTCCACTTTTTCGTGCTTAATTCTGCTTCCTTCAGCAAATATTCTTTCTGCTTTCTTCTGCTAATTTAAGCTTATTTTACCCTTTCAGCTATGTTTTAGCATTTGTAAGCTAATTTCGGCTGCTTTCAGATAAATTCAAGTTTTTTGTGGTAATTTCTGCTACTTTCAGCCTAATTAACTTCTTTCTGCTGTTTTCAGCTTCTTATGGTTCTTTCAGCTTATTTCTGCTCGTTTCAGCTTTTTCTGCTATTTCAGCTAGTATTTAGCTGTTTTATGCTAAATTTAGCTTTTTTCATCTTATTCCACATTTTTATCTAATTTTTGTTACTTCTGCTACTTTCTGGTAGTTTAAGCATTTTTCCTGCTGTTTCAGCTACCTTCAGCTTTTATAGCTAATTTCAGCTGTTTTAGCTAATTCTCCTAATTTTTGTGCTCATTTCTGCTTATTTAAACCCATTTCAGCAAATTTGTGTTCTTTCTGCTTTATTCTGCTAAGTTAAGCTTGTTCATACATTTCAGCATGTTTTTAGCTCATTTCAGCTGTTTTTCAGCAAGTTCTTTTGCAACAAGCATTCACACTGCATTTCCGCAGGAAATGCAATTTCTCTAGTTTTGGTTGAATCTTGAAAATGCAGTTTGTCATGAAACATCTCATTCAGAGCATATGATGTGAATGACTCTCAGTTACTACCATGTGAAATTTTAGCTTAATATCTACAAAACTGACCGACTTATAGCCACGTTTTGTCGGCTAAGGTAGATTAGCTGTGACTGTGTTTACTTCAAACGCTAATTCGTTGTAAACCCACAACTAATAATAACTTTATGAGAGTTTCACTCAAATTTATCCAATGGTTTATAGGATATTTTGCTCACAGACAAACAGCATTGACACTAATTATTACTAAAGTTTTAAGCAAAAATCTCATATAATGACTCACGCTCGCTGTTTTCAGTTATTTATTTTTAAGGAAACACTGTTGGAAACACGTGTAGGCGGCTTTGCTGACTTTATGCTGTTACAATTGCAAACTACCCAACATGAAAAAATTGTGCAACCTAAACATTTCATGTTTATCTCCTTAACTCTTTCCCTTTGGGGGTTTGAGCTGAATAGGAAAGAGTTCTTTTCCACTTATAAATGTTTTCATGTGCTGCTTTATGACTTGGCTGTGTGGGACATGAGACATCTCACTATTTACCTGATCACCTGCACCTGAGCCCACATCGTCCTCAAACACCACCCCGTGCAGCTTCTCCGTTGCCATGGTATCACAGAGGTGGGTCAGCAGGTCACGGGGGTTGGTGTCGTTGACTAGCACCGTCACTGGGCTGACCACCACGGGCAGGTCCACGAAGTTCTCCCCGCTGAGGCGACCTCTGACCTCGTTCTGGTAGCTGGAGCCGCTGAACACCACCGCCACGTTAACGGACGAGTGGACGAGGAGCGGCCGTGCCTGCAGCGGCGGCGGGGAGGAGATGAGGAGCAGGAGGACGACAGGAGGCCAGGGCGAGGGGCGAGGGTGTCCCCTGTTGGTGACCATGTTGGCAGCTTACCGCCTGGAGAGGAGCAGATGAAAACAAAGGAGCAGCGGTCACACATGCAAGCTGCTTTACCTTTATGATGTTTTTGACATGAATCATAATTTCTCGTCTCTCTTTGACCCTGTTGTACGGCAGTGTTAGCCCCGCGGTTAGACTCTTGTGTCATCATGAAATCTGAGCTCGTATGTGTGTCAGAGTCTGTGTGCATGTAATCCTCCATAATCCAAGGCCCAGTGTCATGACTGTAATCACCTCTTCATCTGCACATGCTTGGTTCAGCAGCACACACACAGAGTAAACGCAGGATGCCAAAACTGTTGCGCAGGTCTCCAATCCTCATCCCCCAGATTACATTACAAAACTCCTCATGCCGTTACTTCATCGGTCTATCGTTAGAAATATGCAAATAAATAAATATGTTCGGATTGGTCAACAGTGCACGATACCTTCATTTATTGACGTGTGGTTGTACGTAAACTGAAGTTTAAAAGGCTTTAATAAAGAGGTAAATCAGCCACAAACCCAAACGAAACGTTTATATCCTTGTATAGTAAACTGTTTCTTTTTATATTTTATATTTTTGCTATTTTCGTACGTAACTGGGACCTTGAGTACACAATTTTGTTCCACCTCATGTACCACATGTGATGAGAATAACAATAAAGATACTTGAAACTACTGAGAGAAACATCAACTTCACAAAATGCTTTTAGAGAGATACTGTGGATGGATGGATGGATGGATGGATGGATGGATGGATGGATGGATGGATGGATGGATGGATGGATGGATG